TTGTCTGACATTGAAAATCAGCTCAGCAATCCCAAAAACCAACCCATGAGTTGTCTGACATTGAAAATCAGCTCAGCAATCCCATCTCCCTCATGTAGCATCCCCCTGCTATTGTCACACCCAGCACGGTGAGGATGGTTTGTACTTCAGGGAGTTGCAGTTTCTTTGCAGTTTTCCCAAACCTTTGGAAAAGCATCAAGGGACAAACTTTGCAAGCAGAAACGGCAGAACAGGGAGGTCTGGAGAGCAAGGAATTCTACAAATACTCTATTTAGAAAAATCCTTTAAAACTTGATTAAAAGTAAGGAAGTATATTTATGTGAAACATGAAATGCCTGTCCTTAGAAGCACTGTCTAAATGTTTTTTTTGGCCTTTATTGTAAAGCTCTCCAGCTCTGGAACATTTCTCTTGAAGTTGCTCTCTCTTTCTCTACAGCCATAGGTGATGTAGAGAATGCCTGGAGCCCACACAGTGATGGAAGCTGTAAGAAGCCTTTCAGGATATTTTTTTTTTATTTTTTTAACACTGTGAGCAGGGTTGTGAGCAGGGTTGTGAGCACCCTTTTCCAGGAGCAGGAGTCAAGGCTGGGGAAGGCAGGGATGCTGTCAGCATCAGGAACTCCCTCCCTCCTTCCTTCACTCAGGTTATGTAATTCTGCTCACACAACCACCACAATCCTGCACTTCTCCTCACAATACAGGACCTTGAGGGAATTCCCCTTATTTCACTATCTGTCTCCAGCCTTACTCAGTGCTCTTTTGCACACATGATCCTGGGCTATAAAATGCTTTTCCCTCCCAGGAGGGATCCACAGCCTGAGAGGTTAAAGGCAGGGAACTTTGGCAGAGAGGAGTTTCTCCTGGCAGGGTGGGGAACAAACACCTCTCCCAAAAGCACGGTAAGAATCCCCATGTCCAGACAATCATTCTGTCATTTATTTACTGCAGCTCACAGGTAAAGTCATTATATAGCATCTTCTATATATATAAAGTCATTATATGGCATCTTCTATATATATAAAGTCATTATATGGCATCTTCTATATATATAAAGTCATTATATGCATCTTCTATATATATAAAGTCATTATATGGCATCTTCTATATGTATAAAGTCATTATATGGCATCTTCTATATGTATAAAGTCATTATATGCATCTTCTTTTCTGTATTAGGAGCAAAGTGTCCTCAGTCTCAGTCTCCTGCTCCAGTTCCAAGCTGTCCAGCTGCTCTGAAAACTTTGTCCCTCCTTTCTTCTGATTCCCAGGTTTGTGCATGTAACAGGTAATGCTGTC